ACCAAGAGGTGGCCAACAGCGCTTCAGACGCGGCCCTCAAGCTCTGGTGCCGCCCCTGGCTGCTGGGCTTTGGGCTGACGGTTTGACTTCTCTAGGCTTGTTTTCCCAGTAGTGAGATGCAAGCCTCATCTCAGCGTCTTTCCAACTTAAACAAGAAAGTCCTCTAGTATCAACGTGGTCCAAGCTGAAGCGATGGCCGTCAGCCCATACACGCGTCTACAGGGTGGTGTTTCTCCAAGCCTCGCTGTTAGCTCTGACGTGGAGCTATTAGCGGTTCTTGTTTTCATCCTGCTTATCGTCATTTCCTATGATTTTCTATGTGTGCTATTTATGTAATAAAAAGTTACAATTTTTTTTTGTTAAAGATTGGCCCCTGAGCTAACATCTGTTGTCAATCTTCGTTTGTTTTCTTCTTCTTCTTCTCCCCAAAGCCCCCTAGTTTATGGTTGTATATCCTAGTTGTACGTCCTTCTAGTTCTGCTATGTGAGATGCCACCTCAGCATGGCTTCATGAGCGGTGCCATGTCTGCATCCAGGATCCGAACAGGTGAAACCCTGGGCCGCCGAAGCGGAACATGCAGACTTGACCACTTGGCCACGGGGCTGGCCCCAGAAAAGTTACAATTTTTTTTAAAAAGTAAGCCTTCCCATCATTACCACCACATTCCCTTGCACATACAAGCATTTGTATAGAAGAAAAGTATTTTAAATGTCAGTTTTTAAAACACCTACAGCTAAATGCCCACTGGGGGAAAGAACGTGAGTAGTGTTTAAATTACATGCTAATTTACCTAATTATTCTAGAAAGTGACTACATCTGAGGAGGATTACTATACCTGTTCTAACTCATGCTTCTCACATCCTTGAAGAGAAAGGACCTCATAGTGTCTTTTTTTTTCTTTCTGCTCTCTCTCACCAAATCCCCCCAGTACATAGTTGTATATTTTAGTTGTGCGTCCTTCTAGTTGTGGCATGTGGGACGCTGCCCCAGCATGGCCTGATGAGTGGTGCCATGTCCGCGCCCAGGATCCGAACGGCGAAACCCTGGGCCACCACAGTGGAATGCGTGAACCTAACCACTCTGCCACGTGGCCAGCCCCAGGACCCCATAGTATTAAGTTATTGTGGCATTTTTTGTTTTTGTTTTTGTTTTTGTTTAAACCATGTTGTTTTGCTACCAAGGCCTAGATTCCCCACAGACCACGTGAAACGACGCTCTCAAGTCACAGAAGAAAAGCATCTTACCCGCAAACAGGAAAGAGGGAAGCCTCCTCAGACATGGATGGGAAAGTGCATCAGTTTAATATAATAAATGATGCTTCATAAGAATATTAATAGGAAAACAGAGAACAGGTCAAATCGAGACGACCAGAACTGGACAAACTGACTACGGGAGTGAGACGAGCTGAGAGAACGAGAAATTCATCTCAGTTGTGATCAGTCGAGTACAGCACAGCTTTAGAGGACTTAATTCTCAACGAGAAAAGAGAAGTCCGTACCTACTCTTCCCTCCCTCCCACCACCCAAGCTTCTGCACCAGAGTCCCAGTCCGTATTTCTTGCCGTAAATTTAGAGTTTAAGTGAACTTGCAGCATGATTTCACTTCCCATAGTTAAAATAAATGTGAACATTTAAGCAGCTGTTATTTACAGGAATTAAGATAATATCCAGTGCACCCTTTGCAGACAGTATTTGAGATGGGATTAAACCTGCCAAGGTTCCTCATTTTAGAATCCGTCATCTTTTATTGAAAGAAGCTCATTCATTCGTGATGGATTTTGTGAAAAGAGCATTTTCCAAAGAAAAACGAGAACCCAAAATCATTGTACCAGGAACCATTTTATATCTATTTGTGAGACTGTACGTTAACCGATCTTGAGAAAAGTAACTACGGAAACACTGAAATGGCACACTCTCACCAGAACGAGCCCTCCCTCCTGGGCTCCCTTCACACACGGTGTTTTAGGCTAGGTAAGCTAGTGACTATTTTCACAAAACTTAAATATTGGATCATGCAAAAATGTCCTTCTTAGGATATCTTCGGTACAAAATATTTATTTGCTATGCCATAATGATTGTCTCAAAAGCAAGCAGTTTGTCACTTACATTTTCCACACTGAGGCATTAAATTTGCCACTTCCCCAGGTAAAGAACCCTGTGGGCCATGTGGGCAGAGGTGGCAGCGTCACGGCTGGCCCAGGGAGGGAGCAAATTCATGTCCTTTGCTTGGAGCAGCCATGATGTTTCTGTTCGTAAGAAGGGGGTGCCTCCGAGGTTCGAGTGTGTCATGGAAAGGTGTGCACAGTGTGGCCCTTGAGTTGCTCGGTCATCTGCACGAAAGGCCGTCTGGGATCCGGGGGATGTAGGACAATGACCACCTAGGCCCCACTTCTGGTCACTTCTAGCCCCTCGCTGGCTGCCAGGGTTGGGGGCTCAGCTGCTGAGCCAGGTGAACCTGAGGGTGATTCCTCCTCTCCTGCTGCGCCCACCCAGGGCACCTGGCTTTCCGTGCGCTGGTTCAGCACGCATGTGTTGATGCACATGTGAGTCAAATCAACACGGATAGAGTAGTGTTGGTTGAATGCATAATACAAAACAATGAAAGTCAGCTCTAGTCAAAACTTCGGTAAGAGGTGTGGGAATCTAGCACAACCGTCTGATTTGAGTTTTCTTCCTTTTCCAGGTGCTTCTCCCTTGCCTTCCTCTCCCCACCTGTCCCCACCTGTCTCTGCCCACCCCCTGCAGTGCGTGCCAATGAGCAAGGGATGGCCAAGGGCAGTTGGTGGGGAAGGAGGCAAAAGCAGGCCCATTGGCGCCCTCGGAGTGAACTGAGCTGAGTGTCGATTGGAGGAAGGGACGAGAGAGGGCTGACAGAGGTGTCGGGGGGCAAATGTGGAAAGGGCATACACCTCAGCTTGACACTGGGGTGCCTGAGCACTGGAGCCCTGGACCCACATGCGTGCGTGTGTGTGTGTGTGTGTGTGTATCTTTTATTTTGTCTGTGGATATATTTGAAAACCTATGTCTACACATGACACTTTGAAAACCCACAGGGGCCGGCCCTGTGGCCAAGTAGTTAAGTTCGCGCACTCTGCCTCGGCGGCCCACGTTTTCACCAGTTTGGATCCTGGGCACCGACGTGGCACCGCTCATCAGGCCACACTGAGGCAGCGTCCCACACAGCAGAGCCAGCAGGACCTATAACTGGGATATGCAACTATGTACTGGGGGCTTGGGGAAAAAGAAGAGGAAGAAAAAAAAGATTGGCAACAGCTGTTAGCTCGGGGCCAATCTTAAAAAAAAGAAAACCCACAAACAAGATGCTAGGGGACGAGACCAGTATCTCCTTTGGGCACAATAATGCAGCTGGGTTTGGTCCTTTGAAATGCTTTTCCTTAAAATCACCGTCGTTTCTCCACTGAATGGATCGATAAGAATGCGTAGACTGGGCCGGCACGGGTGTCTTTGTGGAGGGAACGTTCCAGAGGCCTTTGTTTCCTTGTGTACGTCTCCTGGTAGTCACCGCCGACAGACAAGTGCCCAGAAAATTAAGATCGGAGCAGCCGAGGGTCAAAACATTGGGCTTCTTTGTTTTTGTTTTTGTTTTTTTAGCACCACCGGCTGTTTAACATTTTGCACACATCAGAGCAGCTCAGTATCTTAAACGCATCACACCCAGAGGATTCAGGAAAGCAGGCCAATTATAAGGAAAACGGCTTGTGTGCAAACAGAAATGGGAACCAGAGAAGCCCTACCAAGAGACTGGTCTGGCCTTGCTGGCCCTGGAATTAAAATGTGGGACATGACTGCTGTCCTTGAGTGGGAGCTGATCCCAGAACCCCTTCCCAATACCCGAGGGGCACACGTGATCCTATACACACGGTAGGGCTGGGGGGCTTTCTCACTTCCGTTGTGTGTTATTAGCACATATCTGAAGAAACGACCTCCCTTAATTAAGTAACAGCACTCTCTCTGAGCACACCCTCCTCTGCCAGAAAAGCAGAAGAGGTCTGGTCCCTCGGTCTGTCCTCACCGGGACGACCCGCTGGACGCGTCCCCCGCAGTTCCAGAGGATCTCGAGGGGTCGATTCCCATCTCCATCTGAGAGGCTTTCTGAATTCACCACTGTGACGTGAGTTTGATTGGCAATATAAGATCCTTTTCAAATGGTGTGTTTTATAGTTTTCTGTGAAATAATTTCAAGCAACTATTGCAACATAGTGTGTGTTAGTCACGGATGGTTCTCTGAGAAAGAGAAAAAGAAAATGAAAGACTTTCAATGCAAAACATCATTTTCTGAGATGCTTTCCGGGACTGAGGTTTATCCACGGCTTTTGTTGGCCCTGTTTCTTTACTCCGCCACAGCTTCTGTCTCTTCCCGTGTGACATCGCCTGAACTGTTTTATGCAGCTATGTTTGTTCCGTCTTTGACAGAGAGCAGTGTTCTCCCTCGAGTGTCGATGCACAGAGGCGCAGCCTACATGTCCTGCTCCCAGCCTCCCTGACTCCCCACCGCGGAGCCCAGATGCCCCGCCCCCCACCCCTGCCATCCCCATTGTCCTGCCACCTGCACCCATGCCTGTCGCTGTCCCCACAGCACAGCTCAGTAAACCTCCCTGGCTGCTGCCATCCCGGTCACTCACCCTGGGCTGGACACATTCTCTGCACCAGTTTTCTGTGGTTAATAGAGTCTGATCTGCCGTGTGTACGTCTTTCTTCCGCACTCAGTTCATGGTAGCTGAAGAAGCGACGTCATAATCTGAGCACCCTCAGTAAACACAGCATGAACACCTTTGGGCCGACAAACAGAACATGTGAAAGCCTTTGCACCTCTGGTTGGTCTGTGTTCCTGCTAGATCTAATGTGAACCAGCTCCCTAACTCGTCCTTGCAGGTGAAACGTGGTCCCACCCTCTGCCGGCCACCTGGTGTCCCCGATCACATCCAGGGTCAGGACCCTGTTCCCCGTGACGCTCCCTGATTCTGTGCTTTCCACTTCAGGCCTACATGGAGGACCACTTGAAGAACAAAAACCGGCTGGAGAAGGAGTGGGAGGCGCTGTGTGCCTACCAGGCGGAGCCCAGCAGCTCGCTCGTGGCCCAGAGGGAGGAGAACGTGCCAAAGAACCGCTGCCCGGCGGTGCTGACCTGTACGTACTCAGCGAGAGCTCCGGGCGGGCAGGGGCCGTGAGTGATCCGTGGGGACAGGCTGCACCCGCCTGTTCCCTCATCATTTTTCTGCTGACGTCCTCAAGGGCTGGAAAGCCCTTGCCCGCTCCTCCCCACCGGGCGCCCTGTCTACCAGCAGACTGTCCTCTCACTTTGAGACGGGTGTACTCATCACCCCTGTGAGGCCGTCCCAGCCTGAAAACAGGGAATCAGTCTCTTCCTTTGTGGTCCAGTGGCATAGTCCTGAAACCACAGGGGAGACATACAGCCCCAGTGAGTACTTGCTCTGTTTGCTGTTACTGTGTGATTTCAGACTCCCTTCTTAACCTCTCTGAGCCTGTTCTTCATCCATAACTGGGGCCCCACAGCCGTCCTTGAAATGTTGGGACTGTGAGGATTAGACGAAGGAGTTAGCGTTGTAGGCACAAAGCGGGTAGTGGAGCCACCACAGCAATTTTCAACCTTGCAATTATTTCAACAAGTGTGACTGAGGACCTCCTATCTGGCTAGAACCATTGGCAGAAAATGGAGACACAGAAAGATTCCAGGTCTTTAAAGCAGCTTGCATCAAGTAGAAGACACAGTCTTAGATTGTGCGCAGTGCGTGATGTGTAAGCGACTTGCAGATACACAGCCCAACACAGAGGACATAAACGGACAGACCAGCCGAGTCTGTGTCTCTTCCCGCCGACCTGGAGCGGCTTCCTCGTGTCACCAAGTTGTGATGCACCAACGTCCTAGCAGGCACTCAAGCAGGTTCCAGGCCAGGTTTGGACTTTGCTTAACACATAAACCCACCCTGCGGGGGGGCACGGGGTCTTAGGCATGTGTGACACAAATAGACACTCACTGAATGTGACCTTCATGAGTGATCCGTGTGTGTGTGTGTGTGTGTGTGTGTGATACCCACTGACTATCCTCATAACCTTAACAGGAGAGGAATTCATGCATTCTTCAGACATAATAAAATGTACTTGGTCGGCTGACATTTTCGAGGGCACAGCAAAGCCACTCTCAACCTCAGCAGGCCAGATCAGCGTCCACCATGGAGACAGCACCCCTGTGTCACAGGCCCCTGTCCCAGCCCTTTGGAACCAGTCTGGGGACCACCAGTCATGGGACCACAGCCACGGTGCCTCCAAAGCTAGAGCTGGGCTCTTGTCCCAACAGCCCCATGCTCAGCTGGCCTGGGAGAGGCAGCTGTGACTTCTCCCTGATGGGAAATGGCAGCAATTTGACCAGTGTTTACAGGTCAGAAAGGCCAAAAGCTAGAACCTTGTGTTGCTCTTGACAGTCACCTGGAATTACAAACCTTCGTGGAATCTGAACACACTTCCTGCATCAGTGTTTCGTAACAACTTAGTGTTCAGACCAGGTGCTCCGTTTCCTTGAGGTCTGAGGGAGTTTTTCCCTAAAGAGCTCTAAAAATGGGAGTGTTGCAATTGAAAGTTTTATTTCTAGAAGAAAAGCAAAAAAAATAATAATACATTCAATTGACTAACAGGTATTTATTAAGTACCTGCTGCATGCCAGGGGCCACTGACAGATGCAGAGACGTCCAGTGGGCCCAGTGTGGTCGCCGTCCTCAAAGACGATCCAGATGGGGAGACAGGAAGGAGGAGGGGCGGGGGAGGCTTCCCATGGGTCTTGGATAACTGCTGTTTGGGGCAAATAGACACTCAGTGAGCTCGGATAGAGTGTCTGCCGGGGGTCTGCTTGTTTACTTGGGTTATCGGGTCTCCTACGGGAATTAGTGAAATTCAAAGCCTTCCCTCCAGCGCCCCATCCCTTAGTGACAACCAGCACGTGGCAGACACGCGATGGTGCTCCCATCCACGTGCCCTGCAGCCCGTGCGGCCCCTGGGCTCGGGCTCTGTGCTCAGCGGTGGGTCCACAGGCAGGACTTCAGTGATGGTAGAGCGTCCTGTCCTCGGCTGTGAGGCAGGGCCACCTCAAGGGCCCTGGGAGCCCCATGTCGCCCTTTAGCCAGATCCTCGGGCCTGCCGTCCTTGGGCCAGAGCAAAGCCTGAGAAGAGGAACATTTTCTTGGTTGGCTCTGGCGCTGGGAGCTGGAAGGAAGCCACCTGAACTTGGCCCGTGCCACTGTCCCAGCCGCCTGACCCCCGTCTGTCAGGATGTGCCCACCCAGGGCAGCTCTGTGGACGGGGTTGAAGGTCCGTGCAGGAAGCCAGGGTGAGGCAGGCACACTGTTGAGAGAGTGGGTGGGTTAAGGTATTTCTGTGGATAAACGGGTCTGCTTGGAGCAAACTCGTGTCACCTCCTTAGTTCTCCACACCACTGGCCTTAACTCAAAAGGAAATCGTCTCCGGTTCTGCCCACATGCCTTTCCCAGCAGGAGACTGGGCAGAGACATCACTTCAGCCCTTGTGGGCCTCGCCAGACTCCACCAGAGAGAATGACCTCCTCCTTCTGAAGCCTGCTTTCTGTTGTCCAGCCGTCACCTCGTCACAGACCTGTGAGGTGCAGGGGAGGGCGGCCTCCATGCGGCTCCTGTCTCTGAAGGCCAAGGTCCACGCCCCATAAACGGGTAGACCAGCGCTGCGTGGTGGGAAGGGTGCTCCCCCAGCGTCCGTGCTTTGGCAGGAGTGTCACCATTCTTTCGTGGAAACCCTAGAGCTGCCTTCCTCTCTGCATTTGCCGTATCTTTTGCCATATCCTCTCCCATCGCTTCCAGCAAGTTCCCTCATTTCTCAATTTGAAGGTCCTGCCCGGTCTTCTCTGCTCACTCCCACCCCTGGCCTGGACCCTCAGCCCCTAGGCCTCCCATCTTCCCACTTCCAGCTCCTGTCCTTTGAGCCAGCCCTGCTTCTGCCCCGCCACGCTGACCCATCTCAACCCCTCTGGGTTCTCCCAGCCTGTCCCTCCACTCGACCCAGAGGGCAACCTCATGCTCGCTGCTCCTCCCACCTTCCGTCTTTGCTCGTTTGGTTCCCGTCTGAAATGCCTCTCCTGCCGCCCGGCACTGGGACTGTTCCAGCTCAGGCTGGAAGGCGTCTTGGCTGGCAGGTTGCGTGGGAAATTCAGAAGTGGCCGGGCTGGTGACTGGATCCCTCACAGCCTGGAGAGTCTAGCTACGTCCGAATTATTGTTCAAAGGAGAAGGCGACTGGCATTTATGAGATGCTTGACTGGTGCTGTGCTGGGTTTAGTTATACCACCTCAGAAGTTTTTAGAGTTTAATATGCTTTTCAAATTTTTTTGCATTTTTAAAAAGAATTATGCAATATTCCGCCCATCTGCTTTTTCAATTAAGAACAGGAATATGATGCTATTTTGGTGTACCACCTTAAACGAAAAAGTAGTTTTGATTCTGTGTTATAATAACAGAGAAATAGACAGAGACGCAAAAACAGTAACAGAAACAGTGAAGCCAGAGAGAATGAAAAGCTAAAGACCCAGATACGTGGAGACAGAGAGAGAGATGCACCACGTAGCCATCTGCTAATTGGGCTGTTGCTAAAGAGACTCCACTCAGTTTCGCAAGCGCAGCCATTGGTGTCCCGCCCTGCCCTGCAGGTGCAGCCGGGGGGCACGACGGCAGACTGTGCCCTTCTGTTTCCAGTCAGGGCACCTGGGTGGCACTGGCCCGTGTGTGAACGACTGAGCGTGTGCCACCACCTCCCTGGAGGCCTGTTCCCTCTGAGCCTCCCGGGAATCACCCCTCCATCTGTCAGGTGAGGACACGGGGTGTAAACCCACATCCTCGGTGCTGACAGGACGCTGCGCCTCATACGCTTTGTGGACTCGCCCTAGAACTTCTGTGTTGGAAACATGTACACAAATTTCAAACTTCTACAGAAACGAATATTTGAAATACACACCAGGACGCAGTACGTTGGCCAAGCATCGCTTTCCTTAAACACACAGAAGGGAATTTCTTTCCAAACAAACCTTTGGGTCACATGTTTTTTTCCAACTCTGAGGAGAATCCTGGGGGAGGACTGTCTTCTTTAGTCGCCTCTGGGTGACCGAGGCTTCCCCTGGGTGCCTCTAACGAGCAGCCGGTGGAGGGTGCTCCTGACTGACAAGCAGCCGGAGTTCCCTTTCCTCTCGTATAGGCGGCTCCAGACACACGTCCCACGTCGCAGCAAAGTTGCACGTCGAGAAGCGTTCCTGGCTGGGCCTTCTTTCTCCCCCGTTTTCCGGTCTCAGAGCCTGAATCTCTGCCTCAGGACTCAGGAAGGCTGTGGGTTTGTTGGTGCTGAAAAGAAAACATCCCAGCAAATTCTGTGCAAGCTTTTTTCTTTGGTACATCACAGGCAGGAGCTGCCTGAGACTGAAGGATATTTTTTAAGGGGAGCAGGAAAGAGGCAAACCCAGCGTTTTAGAAGCCCATGGAGTCATTCGCATCAGGCTACACTCGGAGAGCAGAGACCGCCTAAAAGTGGTGTCCTCGGCCGTGAGTGCGTGTCCACCGCCGTGAGTGTGTGTCCACCAACATGAGCATGTGTCCACCGACGTGAGCTCCCCGCCTCTGAGACCTGCAGGCGCTGGCACCAGGCTGGAAGCTGCCCTGCTGTCTGTATGACATGACCGCTCACGATTCGGCTCTGACGTTCTCTTACTTCTCTTCCTGAAGCACAGCCCTAGATTGTAGGGTGTCTGACCTCGTGCAGCATGGCTGTCCACACTTCTCAGCATTCACTTCCCAGTGTTACCTATGGAGTCCTAGCATCGGGGGCACCTGAGTGTGTGGAAAGAACTGGAACCTAGGAGGTGGCCAGCCAGCAGCAAGGCCACGTCTCACGGACACGCTCAAGTGATCCACGCCCGGAGGGAGCGAGCGCAGCCCTTCAGGAGGGCCGAGAGATCGGGGGTGTTTCCTCCTTGGTCTGGACGTTCTTCCTTATCTGGCGCAAGTTCACGGTCATTGTGCGATAGGCAACGGCAGGTTGGCTCGTGCTGGGGTTGCAATCATCTGAAATCCAGGGCCTTTTCTGCAAGGACGGCAGTTAACCCAG